TTGTAGTAATTTTAAAATCTGTTCATATCTTTTTACTAATTACCTATTGACTGTTTTCAAACTGTGTTAATCCTCTCTTTATGACTTTTATTAAAGATATTTTTATATGATCCTATAACCAGTATTTCTTCCACTTTACCTGCCTCACAGGATATATGCCTTAAAGGCACGTTCATGTCTCATTTTATATCACCTAGCACAATAATAGGCACATAACAGGTCACTCACTTCAAACTGATTAGTCATTATAAGCTAGAAGAATCTGGTCAAGCTTTCTTAAGTTACAGATTAAGAAACAGAAACCCAGAAGTAGGTCATTACTGACGGTCACACAGGTACTAGAAAGTAGCAGAGATGGGATTCGAATTTAGGAATCAGAGGATTCCAAGTTCAGTGTTCTTTCTACTACACCAGGGCAAGCTTCAGAGAGAGATATGATTTGAGCTGGATCTTGAAGGAAAAAATAAGATTCTGATCGCATGAGAGGCTAAGAGAGGACAATTCAGTCAAGTAAAACAGCACTGATTTTTTCAAAACAACTTTATGAGAGAGTGATGTGATAGTGTCCCTATTTTGTAGATATAGTTCTTAAATAGGTTAAATGACTCATCTATAATAACAGGAAAAATAAATTAGGAATCAAGACCAGATTTCTTTAGTGTATTTCTATGTAAGGCAGTCAGGCAAGAAAGAAGGAAAAGAAAGGAGGGAAGGAACAACTTATCAAGTGCTTAAAATGTGCCAGGCACTGAAGATAAAAATACAAGCAAAGAGAAAAACAAATCTCTCCCCTCAAGTAGCTTACATTCTAATGGGGGAATACAACACAGAGAAGAAATTGGAAAGTGTGGGGGGGGGCAGACAAGGAAGTGGGCATGATCATGAAGTCCAGAGAAAGTAAGGAACAGGGTAGAAAGGACAAAAATGACACTCTAGCTTCAGTCCCTCAATAAAATGGAAATTCTTGAGGATGGGAGAAGCTGGGTAAGTCTTTATAAAGGGACAGTCTGAGGTGAGTGGTTTGAAATTGTGGTAGTTGTTCCAGGATGAGGAGGCCCTAGGCAAAGATGGATGTTCCAGGATACGCAGGAAGTAGAGGGAGCATGGTTTTGATTGATGTGCTTAGGAAGATGGTGGTATTGTCAACAGTCTTAGGGAAGTTAGAAATATTGGGTTCCAGGGACAGTGAGGGGACCAAATTGGCTAAAGAGTTCTAGTATGATTAATTTAAATAATAAAAATCAGATTCTTAGAATCAGGGAGACCATCAGCAGATTATTGCAATAGTTCAGGTGTGAGACGATGATGGCCTGCACTAGGATGGTTGCAGTGTCAGAGGACAGAAAGGAACATTTATGAGAAATGTTACAAGGGTAGAAATGACAAGACTTGATCACTGATCAGATAAGAGGGAGGGGATAGTGATGAGAGAAAGCAAAGAATAAAAGATGACCCCTGGATTATGAGCCTGGTTGACTGGAAGGATGGTGGTACCCTTGATAGTAACAGGGAACTTGGCAAAATGCATAAGCTTTTATGGAAAGACAATGGGCTCAGTTTTGGACACAGTGAGTTTAAGATGTCTACAGGACATTCATTTCTACATGTCCAACAAGTAGGTGGAAATAAGACTGGAAGTCAGAAAAGATGTTAGGGTTGGACAGGTAGATCTGAGAATCTGTATAAAGATGATAAAGCTATAAGAGCTGATGAGATCAAAAAGTGAAATAGAGAGAAGAAGAAAAAAGGATCCAGGACAGATCCTAAGGGGTATACACAAGGTGATGACCTCGACGAAGATCCAGCAAAAGAAACTTATAAGGATGTGTCCTACAGGCAGGAGGAGAGCCTAGAGAGAATAGAATATCAAGAAGAGGGTGATTGACAGTATCAAACGCTGCAGGAGGTCAAGAAGTATGAGAAATGAGAATAGGCCATTAGATTTGGCAGTTGAGAGCATTAGTAACTTTGGAGGTAGAAGTTTCAGTCGAATGGAAGCCAGACTAGAGACAATCTAAAAGAGAGTTAGAGAAAAGGATATGTGGGAGATCTTAAGTAGTTTAAGATTTTAAATTTTTTTAAGATCTAAATAGGAGGCAATATTTAAATTGTCTTATAGACAATAGCTAGCTGGAATGGATGGATCAAATGAGACTTTTTTGAGGACAGGGGAGACATGGGCATGTTTGTAGGCAGTAGGGAAGCATACAGAAGAAGCATACAGAGAGAGATGAAAGGTAAGTGAAAGAAGAGCATAAAGAAAGGGGGAAAGAGAAACTTTAATGGGAAAGTAGAGAAGGAAGAAAACTATAAAAACAGTAAATGATCACAGGGCAGGAGAAAGACAAGAAACTAGAAATAATATGGTGATCCTTAGAAATATCACAGGTAAAAGTCTGTGTTATATACTTTAATATTTCAAGTCACCATTCTTCCAACTAACAATGCAGATCATAAACTTATCCCTTAGAAGACTATTTGTTTTGGCCACATAATTCACTGCCTGATGGCCAATTCTCAGCTATATTCTATAGTTCTTCAAATATTAAATTATAATTCTTCAAATATCAAATGTTAAATATAGTTCTTCAAATAAAAATATATGAAATTCCAGGGCATAAAAAGGTCTGACTTTTAAAGGAATAATTAGGAAATTATTTAGCCATATCATAAAAGAATTCTTAAATTGACAGGATTCCCAGAATCTTCAGTTCTTTTAAATACTGAGCATCTCTGGTAAACATTAAAGTGTTTTCAGAGGTTTCCTCCCTTTCTTTTATAGATGATCAACTGTTTGATAGGCTTGGGAGGGCTGAGAAACTTTAAGCCAAGTTTGGGAAAGCCTAGGGAAGTAGGATAGCACAGTACCTTTGGAGTCAGAGGACGTGGATTCAAATTCTACATCTGACACATTACCCATATGGCTCCCATAGCCAAGTCACTGATCTTTGGTCTTCAGTTTTCTCAAAATTTGTAATATGAGGGTGTTGGGTTAGATGGTCTCTGAGATCCCTTTCAACTCTAGATCTGTGATCCTATAATTACTTTACTATTAAGGGCCTCTGATGCATTGGGAGAAAAGAAATTAACTGAGGGCTACAGAACCATTTTTTCTTCTTGGAAAACTAGGAAACATTCAAATTCAATAAAAGCATGGACAAGTACTTGTTAAGCATAATTAAAGGACAGAATCAGATAAATTTATACTTTCATCATACTTTCTTCCTGAAATTCTTTCCTCTTCTACTCCCCAACCATTCCCATCATTTCTGCTCTTCTGTTTATCTAAAAGTGTCCTATTCTTTCTTTATGGTCTAGTTCAATTGCTTCTTGCTCCATGAAATGTACCCCTACTGAACCAGCCTTTAACTTTCTAGTCCCTATAGCAATACTATTTATTATTCATACCACCTTTTCACTTTGTATAGCTCTCCTTCTGAGTTGCTCCTGATAAAGGATTTGAGTCTCCAAAGAACAGCTGCTACTTCTATGTTCTAGGGTACACTGTGGATCTAGGAACAGGATGATGAACCCCCTAGGAAGCTCTCCTAGGCCATGGATCATTTTTTTGCTCCCACTGCTCCCCTTTGACTCAGAGAGGTATTTATACTGTGTTTAAAAACAAATAGCAGGGGGGCAGCTAGGTGGATGGAACACCAGCCCTAGAGCCAGGAGGACCCGAGTTCAAATCCGGCCTCAGACACTTAACTAGCTGTGTGACCCTAGGCAAGTTACTTAACCCTATTATTGCCTAGCCAAAAAAACAAAAACAAAAACAAATAGCAGGATGCTAACTTTTTTTTTAACACATTAAATCTTCATAGACTCATGGGAATCATAGATTTAGAACAGGAAAAGACCTTAAGAGTCATTGAGACCAAACATCTTCTTCTACAGATGAGGAAACTGAGACTCAGAAAGGTTAAATGACCTACTCAGGGTCATGCTGCAAGTAAATAAATGTCTGAGTTCACTAGCCCACACTGCCTCTCTTTGAATACATCTGTGAATAGCATATTTTATGAATCCTTCCCTTATGCTTGTATTACTTTTTACCTTTTTATGCATATGATCTGTCTTTCCATCTCAACTGACCTTGTCCCCCTAGGGTTGAAACTATGTCTAATAACTCTTTTGTTCTCCTAAGACCAAATACATAGTATATACTCAATAATGCATTCTATGTGGACAGTTTTTCTTTTTTTTTCAAAGTGTCTTGAAGCAGCTGCGTCATGTTACTATATCTATGAAAACTACTGGGTGGTACTTTGAAGTTTAAGCCACAACTGTTCATTCAGCTAAGTCTGTACAGTCTCCAGCTTTTTACCTAGTAGGTACTGGGTTCTGTGTTTTGAATTTAAGGATATAGCTTCATTTTCTCACAAAGCTCATGGGTCTTTTGGTTCATGTTGTCCCCATCCACTTGCAGTCCTTGACTTGCTTCCCTTCTCGTCCCAAAATATGCACACATTTGGCTTATAGGTTAAATGGAATTTCCTACCAGTAAATTTAAAATAAAATGCAATAATGTTGATAGCTGAAGTGCTGAATGTGGGAGAATCATAGGTGTTACACATTGCACATTATTGTCAGTTGTGCTGATTGTCAAAGATTCACATTGCAAGCTTCTCTCATATTTTAGCCACCTTTTTCTCTTTTGTTAAATATATTTAATCTGTGGTGTAAATAAAACATAATGCTTAGGAAGACAAGTGAGGAAAGTCTTAGGATAGCTACAAATGTGATCACTATTGCTTCTTGAATACTAAGTCACTTTCCCTACCCAGAATACCATCCCCTGTAACAAAGAATACAAAAGGGAGAAGAAAAAGTCAACAAAATTAACCCTTGGAATAAGACAGAGAATTGTAGTCTGAATGATTTAAAGGGAAAAGAAACATGTTAGATGAATACATAACTGTTTGCATTGTACACAGAACATGAGTTAACGGATTGATATTAACCTAGAAGGAATTTTACTATAACACGTCACAAGGCTCTATACTTGGACATGACATATTCTTTTTATTAAAGATTTAGAATAAATACATAGCACAAACAAAAAATTTATTAGATGAAATGAAGCTGGTAAAGAAAGTCTAAGTTCCTGAGTGAAGACTTTGTGCCAGAGCCAAGTTCTGCCCCATCCTACACTCTTGGATGAGAGGTATGGGTCCTGATCCTATCTCTGGTGCATTCTGGATGATGCTGCCACTATCCTGCCACAATTCTTGATAAAGTGGCTGAGTCCTAGTACCTCCTGCTTTTTTTCCAGCCTGGGGAAGAAAGCTTGCTTAGGAATTGACAAGGCTGCCTTCTGCCTCAATCCCTTTCCCTATTCTCTGCCTCAACTTCCTAGAGGTTCCATGAGTACACTGCCCTCAACCTTATCTCCACCTCCATTCTCTACTGTTACCTATCAGGATTAGCTTTGTTCCCTGGTTTGAGTCTATATATCAGAAATCTTGCTGCTTCAGGGTACTGTGAGGGCCCTATGTCTTCCACTGCCTCTGGCCCATGTACATATCCTTGGTTAGTCAACTACTGGAAGTTGGCTTTGTCTCCTGCTATGACTTAGGCCAGAATCACAGATCTCATTGACTTCAACAGAGGATTTATCGATAATATTATCACACTGGCTTCAGACTTCACTGAAAAACTCCCTTATCAATATACCCACAGTCTCCTGACTGATTTCTTGTGCAGTCTTGGATGTAAGAAGGATCTTACCAGCATTTTTTCTTTTTCAGTTTTGCTGGAGTGTCTCAGAGAAAGCACACTTGACTATAACCTTTCTAGAGGTCTCAAAGGCTGTTTGGTAGAAGAATTTTTTGAGCTCCATATAGTCTATGGGTTTCCACTTTTGTTAACAAGGAGGTAGATTTTTGGCTCAACATAAGGAAGAACTTTCTAGCAATCAAAGCCATCCAACAACCAAGGCCTATCTTGTGAGACAGCAAAATCTCTGTCATAGATACTATAGGGAAGATTTTTGTGTAATGTGAAACTTTTATGGTCCCTTTCAGAGTCTGAAATAATATATTAGGCATATCAATTATATTGTATGAACTATTTTAGCAAGTACTGACTTCTGGAGGTCAAAATCTAACATATGTTTTAGTAACCATTCAGAGTGCCTAGCGCAATATGACTGAGCCCTCAGGAAATACTATTTTAGAATGCCAAAAGGGGAAATTAAGAAAATGTCTTAGAACATGCTGTACAGAACAACACAGCATGGCATAGGGTAGAACAGACCAATATCCCCTTTTTTTTTTCTTCTCTGACTTCTAGGATTTCTAATGTTGGACAGCCCCAATAACATTTGTCCCATAATAATTCTTCAAGTGTAAGTCACTGTCTCTAGTCTGTTTGGTAGAGGAATTTGACTTGGACCTTTAAATTCTATGAAGTAGCTTCTGCTGAGGAAGCAGGAGAAACTACTGGGAAAGAAAGTAAGATCTCTGCTTTTTCACTCAATTCTATGATCTGGATTGAACTATCTTTCTTTGAAAGCCAGAATGCAAGGTAGACTGGCTCAGCAAAATCACAATTAAACCTATGAATCAGAACCATAGTATCAAAGTCAATCCCATAGAAAGAGAGAATGTTCCCTACATAGTTCAGGTAAATCCCAAGCCTCTGGAATTGACCAACCCCCAGTGGAGTCTCAGAGCCACTGTGCCAGGCGCTAAACTCCTTCCCATTCCAGTGGATACTCCAAGAAAAGCTATTCCCTGAGATACAACTATTGCTCTCTGAGCCCTTCCGGTCTATATTCTTATTAGTCACACCAACATAAACACCTGCTCCTTTGATCTCCAGTTCAAAATAATATTGGTTTAAGTACAGACTCTGTTTGGATAGCACTTGTCTCCAGTGCTCAAATCTGCTAGGATGGTCTGGGTATGGGTGTTGCCAGGGAGAGGTATTCGTGACTTTGTGGTTGTCCTCCTGGAGCCTGAGATACCTATGAGCTGTGTCAGGATCAAACGTGATGGGGTAGGCATCTAAAGAAACACAAGAAAAAGGAGAGTGATGAAGAAGACATCAACAATCAAGGGAATACATCTTCCAGAACAGCTGGAATAAATAAAACACAAAGTCCCCCCTGTTCTCTAGTCAGGCCCATACTCAGGTTATGGTTTCACCAAACAGGATAGGGAAAAAGTAGAAGATGAAAAAGTATTCATTTGCTTCCTAATCTCTAGGTTTTTGACAGTTAAGCCATTCGTTAAATATGAATAGTGGCTTGGCAGCTGTTTGTTGATGAAAAGCTTGGAAAAGACTTCACTCTGCAAGTCACCTTTGTTTAAAGAAAGATGGCTATGGGAATGACCCCTACTAAAACTTTGAGACAGAGTCAAGTACCCCAAAAGTCCCATAGTTAATAGACTTTGAGCAGTGAGAGTAATCAACTTTAAGGATTAAGTAATTGGCCAAACCTTTCCCAAGAGCTTGCTAAGACTCAAGTCAACACACCTGAAATTCACCATATTTAGCAAAATAGGTTGTATTTATATTAAATCAATTTCAATCACTACTCAGAAAAAAATTAATCTTTTTCTACAAAAGGTACAAGAAATTAATCTTTTTTCTTATTGCTTGACATAACCTTATTAAATAAGCTTCACAACTTATACTAGATGGAGGGAGGAAAAAGAAAGGGAGGGAGAGGGAGAAAAAAGCAAAAAGAGGGGGAACAGATTTAATTTGTTGGAACGGAAACAATTCAGGAGTGCAAACCCCAGAACTAAGCAATTAATAAGTCTGAGTGGGCTGGACAGGTTCATTATTAAAAAGTAATGTTGGTCTGATCACAGATTGGAAAAAATATCAATTGAGGGACGCCATACAAGAAAAAATATAATTTGTTAACTTTGGAAGGCAAAAACTACCAAATGCAATTTATCCAATAAAATTAAGAATGGGGCAAAATTTTTCATTTTATAAATAAAATCATGTTTGTATGTGCATATGTTCCATATGACAGTTGGTACTACTAATATCTGATTCCAAAGCCTTATCATGGTATGGAGCTGATACTAGTGTTCTTCAAATACTAAGTTAACAGAGTTCAAGCTCTAGCTGTCTTTAAGTTTAAAAAATCATCTATTTGTAATAATTCCTTTTGTCTTCACATCACATTAATTCCAGATATATATATCTTTTCCTTACCCCTACTTTACAGGCATGATTTTGTTACAAAGATTTTAAAAGAATTTTGGGGAAAATCAGCAAAACAGGCAATACATCTACCATATCTGGCAGTAAACACACTATTCCACATCCAAAGTCCTCCACCTCTGTAATGAAGGAGGTAGGGTACATTTTTTCAACTCTCCTCCAGAGTCAAATCTGGTCATTACAATGTCATACATTCAGTTTCCTTTTTCTTGCTCTTTCTGCTTACTGCTGTGAACAGCCAGAGGAATCTATAGCCTTACTCTCCTAGGCATAGTTCCTATTTTACAATGCTAGTACATTTAAGGTTCAACCACATCAAGTTCTAGTTAAAACAAGTTGTTGAAACTCTCCTAAAAGTTTGCTGATGTAGCATAGTTTTAATTTCACCTTCCTCATCCTGAGCAGGCTTTCCTGGATAACACTGAAATAATTCTTTTTGCTACAATCTATGTTCGTGGACCCCACTTCCCCACTGGCAAGTCAAAGCTGTCATGGTGAACCCTTCATCTGAAAATTCCAGTGTCTCTACACCTTGGACTAGAATACACATCCCATTGCTCATTTGTCACTTCTTATAGCACAGTAAAAACCAATTAAATTGATATAGTGCAATTTCCTTAGGTATTCGCCAATCTCTGAGTACCTAAATTATTTCCACATTCTGGTAAAACTTAACTAAAAGTTTTGAGTTTGGGTTAATATGGCAGTCCTCTAAGAGCTGGCCTAAGTGTAGACAAGCTCATGAACATGTTGGCCACATGGTGGCTCCCTTTCTTTAGTGATTCCCTATTACCCCTAAGATCAATACAAACACTTCTGTTTAACATTTAAAGCCCTTCACAATCAGCCTCTAACATAATTTCCAGGCTTTGCACTAGCTGTCCCTCTAGCCTGAAATGCATTCCTCTCCTTATCTTCACCTTTTAGAATTCCTATTCTCCTTTAAAGCTCAGTTCAAATGTTACCCAATCCCCACCCCCAGTTCTTATTCTCTCTGAAATTACCTTGCATATGTTTTATATATACTTTTATGTGTGTAACTCCATATCAATAATGAGTGCTGCTGGGATTTATAGTTTTTCCTATCTGGAAAGAGATTAAAGGATCATAAGGAACATAGGAAATTTCAGAACTTTGCAGTTCGGTGGTGAGGAGTAGGCCCTGGCTGGATATCAGACAACAATGGGAGCTGATTGCAAGTGAAGATCCCTATAGCCAGAAATGAATATAATTATAAGCAGTTTTAGCCTTGTCTGGCTCACTTAAGGAATGATCTACCTGGACAGAACTTACTGTTTGCCTGAATATACTTGCCTCACGACTACTGAGAATAAGCAAATTTATCTACTCTCAAGCATTATGTCCCAGTTAGGGAAAGACAAAGAAAGAGGAAGAAAAGAAAGAAGTAAAAAGAATGGGAAGAGAAAGAGAAAAAAAAGAAAAGAAAAAAAGATAAACCTACAGAAGCCAGAGGAAATGAAGAAGGAAAGACAGGGGAACAAAGAAAATGACACACACAGTCACACAGACATATAAAGAGATACTAAGAATGACATTTGTACATAGTGAAAGTCACAGAGACTAGCTTTCATTCTTAAAAAAAAAATACCATATGACCTCAGAATTAGAAGGGACCTATAAGGTCACCTAGTTATACCTCACTGCCCAAAACACAAATCCCTTTTGCAGTATAGGTTACATTCCCTTTACCCCAGTAACAAGGAACTCATTTTCTAATAATACAGTCTATTACATTTTCTGACAGTTCAAATTGTTGGGTTTTTTTTAAATTATATGAAATTTCTATTTGGTGTCTTGCTATCTCCCTTCATATTTTCCTTCTCCAAGCTTCTTTTTTTTTTTAAATTTTATTAATTTATTTTGATTTATCAACAATCACTTCCATATGCTTTTGAATTGAAAATTTTTCTCCCCCTTCCTCTCCCCCCCTTCCCAAGACAGCGCACAATCTGATATAGGCTTTACATTTACATTCCTATTAAACATATTTTCACATTAGTGAAGTTGTAAGTAAAAATGAAAACCAATAGGAGGAACCATCAGAAAGATGAAACAAAACTCAACAGAATATAAAAATAAGTGATAGTGATTCGACTTCCATAGTTCTTTCTTTGGATGTGGACAGCATTTTCCATCCCGAGGCCTCTGGAGATGTCTTAGATCCTTGTAATGCCGAGAAGTGTTCAGTTTAACAATATTAGTCATCATATAACGTGGCTGTTATTGTGTACAAAGTCCTCTTGGTTCTGCTCACTTCACTCAGCAGACAGTTCAAATTGTTAAAAAGTTCTTCATAGGATTTGGAACTGGAAGGCACTTTAAAATCCTTTACAGACTTACTAAACTGGTAGTTCAGGTTTGTGTTGTATATATAATTTAATCAGATTTAAGTGAAGCTTTTCATAAAGTATCTCATGCTGTTCTTGAGGTAAATATGTGAGGTGGAATAGGGGTATCCAAAGAGGAGGTTCTATACCCAAGTGCTGTATTATGCACTAAGAACTGTGAGATCAACACACTCTCACTAACCTCAGCTACAAGCACCCAATATTCCCCCACTTTGTCATCTCCTAATACTACTCCCCAAACTCCCAACCCCTTCCCTTATGTTGTCAACACTGGGAAGATTATAATGACTCAGGACTCCACAACTGCTATTTGAAAAATCATCTCCGTCCCCCAGCATGCTCACAGCCTGGTATTCTGATGACCTTTTGGCCATAGCAAGCACTCCTTGGCTGGCTCTGAACACCCAGGCAATTTACAGTGAATAAGAGCCTCACTCCCCTCCCTTTTGCTTTTGATACGAATGGAGTAAGTTTCACAGGATGAGTAGGCATGAATGTGTTGTGATACACATTATAGAACTTACTATCTTTCTTCTCAAACCCACCCCTCTTTTGTAGTTCCCTTTTTCTGCCAAGTCACCTGTTACATGTGATTCTTCCAGTCTAGTTCTAATTTACAATATTATAACTATAGATTTAAACAATTTGAGAAGCATGTTATTCAATACAACTTACATTTGAGAAAATCAACTCTGCAGCTAGGTTCAGGTATTGAAGTCCAGTATTTGTGGGGCACAACTGCAGACATTTGAGTACTGATCTCATACTCTTCTGAAAAATGAATATAGGCCTGTTAGTTGGATTGTCAGGGGAGCCTAAGAAATCTAATCCCCCTGGGCAGTTATTTTCCCTCTACTGCTAATGACTCATATTTTAATGGAATGGGACAAATGTCCCAGCAGGCTGAGTGGGTAACTTTTAGGGGAGATATTTTTCTCCAAAGCAAAGTGATTTGCTAAATATCCTAAAGGGTTTTGGGTTTTGTTTTTAGATTTGGATGAAGTAGAGGGTTAGTTTGTTTGAGGTATATATCATTAGGTGGGCATCAGAAAACTAAGAAGTTAGCTTTAGCAAGTGTTGGGCAATGGAGGGCAAGTCACTTAACCTCTCAGGAACCCTGGACCATTCTATAAAGCTATAATTTTGATATGAATAATAGATCTCCTTTGGTAAAATTACATAGTAGGAGTTCCCCACACTTTGGAAATAGGAGAACTGAACAAAAAGAGGAATATCAATGAATCAAGAATTTGACTGATTAACCCTTTCTCTCCGGGGCCTCATCTTGTTAAAAGAAAAAAGGAATCTTGATATTTAAGTGGTCCTATTTTTAATATATCAATGATCCTTGAAATTTCTTGGAAGAATTGAGGCATGTTAAATGAATGCTGTCCGTAGGTTTGATTCCTTTCCTTGTAACAGTAAGATCAGGTTTGTATAAACATGTTGAAATTCCTAATGGATGTTTGTACAGGGGTGTGTGTGAGTGTGTGTGTGTGTGTGTGATTATTTTTCCACTGTTGCATATATATCACACTCACTCTCTGTAAGCAAGACTTCGCTGGAGTGGGTCAAAGGCCTTAGTTCAGAACCATAGCAATAAATGGTGCTGGTGCTTGGGGATAGGATAATCAAACTCTGTCTCACATTGCCCAGCAGGAAAATCAGGCATAACAAGCCATGGGAACAATATTTTTTAATGATATGGCATTTTCTCTGAAGTTAACTATAAGGATAAGTAAATTAAAATATACTTTGCTTTGCTTGAGATATCAACAATGTAATTCCTAGAAGGTAGATGGAGAAGGAACTAGGACACTTAATATGGTTTGAACCTCTTCTTGCTCCATTTACATTTTTTTTTTTTGCTTTTTGGTGAGGCAACCGGGGTTAAGTGACTTGCCCCGGGTCACACAGCTAGCAAGTGTCAAGTGTCTGAGGCTGGATTTGAACTCTAGTCTTCCTGACTCCAAGGCTGGAGCTCTATCCACTGTACCACTTAGCTGCCCCTGACAATATTTTTGTGGTTGTTTTTGGCTTCATTTACATTTTTATGCAGGTGATATGCTTTGTTGCTAGCCAGCTTGAAGAAAAAGATTATGTGCTGATCCCACAAATATATACAATGCCTATACAATGGAAACTTCAGTAAGGAAGCCACAACTGGCAAGGAAACTGAATCTGGGTGATTGTACAGTCTAGTTAGGCTAACAGACAACATAGAAAACATTCCTTTAATTAATAAGTTGCTATTTTAAGGGTAAGAGGAGGAGGAGGTAGTATCTAATGTTAGATTAGTGACGAGAAAATCAAAACTGTTGGCTAAGCATTATAATTCTTTTTCTATTAAAATAAGGTCAGAGTAGATGGATGATCTCTAGGGTTACTTTCAGTTTCGAAATTATATAAATCTGTGAACATGTGCTGACTTTCACTGTTACTTATGTGAACATGAGCAAGTCATTTAACATCCCAGTGCCCTGGCAATTCTCTAAGGCTGTAAATTATAGGCTAGTTGCTGAGCTGCATTAGTGAAGGGAGTTTCCTATTATCTCTACATTGGGAGTTCTCCCTATAGGGAGAATCATTGATCTAGGCCAAAAAACAATACCAGGAAGACTAAGAAGTGCTATAGACAAAGACATAACTTGACTAGTACCCCTCTTTCCCTTTTTCTCTTTCCACTTTCTCCTTTTTCCTCCTAGTTGTTCCCTTCCCCCCTCTGTCACTGTTGCGCTCTCTCTCTCTCTCTCTCTCTCTCTCTCTCTCTCTCTCTCTCTCTCTCTCTCTCTCTCTCTCTGTAGTTGTGTCCATGGCATTTAAATTGCTCCATAGTCAGGAGGGATTTTACCTTCCTTGGCAAACTCTTCAAGTTTTTCCTTGTAGTTCTGCAGAAGTTGGATTAAATGTCCTGTGCAGTCCATGATCGCCTTTTGTATGCCAGAAAGTTTTTCCTTTAATCCAATATGAACAATGGGGAAAGGACTATCCTCAATATTCTTCTTAAATTTACAATATTCCTACAGATGGGACAAAAGAAAGATCAAGCAAAATATGTGTTGGCTCAATTACCTCTTGAATTTAACTTCTAGAAGTTGGATAGAGTTGATCTACATGAAGCAATAAAGGCTCAAAAAGGTTAAATGACTTTTACTTGGTTACATAGTTATGAGCCTCTTCCAACTGTTATTACTCCTCTACAGGTAGTAAATGTAGGAGAAGTAAATAAAATTACCCTCCCCAGATAACCCCCCAGAGATTGACTTCAGCAAATATTCTGAAGACAGCTTCTGGTGAACCTCCTTGCTGCCCTTGTCTTACCGAACCCAGTGACTGCACCATGAACTTCCCTGACATGTTTCTAACACACAGACCCTCTGTTCCTTAGAAACAGCCCTGCTTTAGGCATGATACCTCCATCTTGTTCTGTATTAACCATTTTGCAATAAATGACCCCTACTGAACTGCAAGGCCAGCAGCAACTTCTAGTGTTCTACAATGTATCCTTTTTTCTTTTTATCAGTACAAAAAAACTCAGCTGCTAAAGGTAGAGGATCCCAGAGCCCTGGGAAAGTTCTTCCTGTCTAATCTGACAGGCAGTTTTCTTTGATTTAGTAAAACTAGCTAAGATGATAACGCCCTTATATATCTCCTGTAACTAATAACATATATTTTTCTTCAACAAGTACACTACTCTTTCTGGCATAAAAAAAGAATGGCCATCTATGTTTTATGGACAATGAATGCTACCCTAAAAATTTGTGTAAAAGGAGCCCCTTACTCCCAGCTCATTGTATAAGCCTTCTGTCTTGGTATCTACCCTGACTGGCCAGAATAAAGGCTTCTTGCTTCACTCTTTAATTGACTCCTTACTGCTATCATCTGACCCTCAAGAACCCAATTTGGTGAGTACTGATCCTCTTCGGTCCTTCCAAATTTCTACTACATCAGTTTAGCACTTCTAAAAAACCATATTACATTTAAGTTACAAAGGTACATTGGAGCAAACATTTTGCATAACTGCATTCCCAGAGGAAAGTCAAATGTCGGACATTACTGAAGCTGCCAAAATGAAATGTTATATACCATATTACTTGATCAAATTACCACCAAAAGTTTCAATATCCAGGATTCACTCTAGGATTTATATTGACCATCATGGGAGTGAGCAAGCATCAGTCATATAATGGACATGCTCATGGGCAATCTCTTTTTTTTAAAATTTGAATATTGGAGTTACTTTACTTATTTACATTTTTTATTTTTAAAATATTTCTCAATTACATTTTTTAAAAAATTAACATGACTTTTTTTAAATGTTGAGGTCCAAATTCTCTCCTTCCTGCCCTTCCTCCACCCACTGAAAAGGCAAGCAATATATCAATTATGTATGTGAAGACATGCAAAATATATGTCATATTAGCCACGTTGCAAAAAAAACCCAACCAAATAAGACAAATAAAGACAGTCCCTGCCCGTGAGGAGCTCACAATCTAATGGAGGCAACAACAAGCAAGCAAATATGCACAACAAGCTATATATAGGATAAATAGGAAATACTAGAGGAAAAGCACTAGAATTAGGAATAGAAAGAATCTGGATACAATGTTACCATAAATTATTAAGTAAAATTGCCTGAAGTTCTAGAAAAAGAGGGTAGAGTAGAAATAGAAAAAAAAATCTACCATTCACCACCTGAAAGAGATCTCAGAAGGAAAACTTACAAGAATGTCACAGCCAAGTTTCAAAACTCTAAGGTTAAGGAGAAAATATTGCAAGCAACAACAACAACAAAATTTAAATACTGCAGAAATACAGTCAGGATTCACAAGACCTAGCAGCTTCTACTCTAAAAGACTGTAGGTGTTGGAACATTACATTTCGAAGAGCAAAAGAGTTGGAGTTGCATCCAACTTACCCAGTTGAGTATAATCCTGAATAGGGGAAAAATGGACATTTGACAAACTGAAAGACTTTAAGGTATTTACAACAAAAAGACCAGAACTCAGTGAAACATTTGATACATGAAATAAAAAGAAAACATTAAAGACTAATTATAAGGCACTCATTAAGGTCAAACTGTTCACTTATTATATATATATGAAAATGTTATCAGTATTCTTAAAACAGTCATCACTATAGTTTGAAAGAAAGATTGGGGCTAAGTTGTGTATGATGGGGTGATTCTAAAAAACAAAACTGGGTAGGAAAAGATAAAAGGGAGCAATTATATTATAAAAATGGGGCGTGAAAGGAAGAACTAATACAGAGGAAGCAGGTAGGGGTAGAGGGCTGGTAATATTTGAACCTTACTTTCATCTGGGTCAAAGAAGAAATAGTGTGTACATCTGGAAGGGTGCAGAAGTCTTCTGAACATGTCAGAGAGGTAAGAAAACTAGGGAGAATGGGGGAAGGGACTTTTAGAGGGGTGTATAGATTGGGATTTGGAAGGGTGGTGGGGGGAGAGGATGAGGGAGGGACTTTTGGAGGATATGTGGATTGGGATTGGGAAAGTGGGGGGAGAAGATAAGGTAACAGAGATAGAGTAAAAAGAGAGGCTGAGAAAGAAAATAGTAAAAATAAGATGGAGGGAAATTCACAAATAGTAATTATAATGTTGAATGTAAGTGGGATGTTTATAGCAGCTCTCTTTGTGGTGGCAAAGAACTGGAAATTGCAAGGGTCGCCATCAATTGGGGAATGGCTGAATAAGTTGTGGTGTATGGTTGTGATGGTATAATACTGTTCTATAAGAAATAATGAGCTCAACGATCTTAGAAAGGCATGGAAAGACTTGCACAAAATAGTGAAGAGTGAAATGAGCAAAACCAAAAGAATATTGTATAAGGTAACAGCAATATTGTTTTAAAAACCACTTTGAGTGACTAAGTCATTTTGACTGTTATAAATACATAAATGAAAAATTAAGGACATATGAAGAAAGACACTATCTGCATCCGGAGAAAGAACTGATAAATAGAAGTATTATAGAATAATTTTACATATGTGTACCTATTTGTGTCTAATGGTAGCCATCTCTAGGGTGGGATGGGGGGGAGAGAAGGGGAAAAAAAAGAAATTTACATGATAATTTTATTATATATTTAAAAGGAATAGCAAGTTATATATAATAGACTTGCAGTTTCAAATGCAATCATCTTTTTAAAAATTATACTATGTTATAGAAATGCTTGTTTTATTCCATAAATTAAAAATAAAATATTCTTTAAAAAAAAAAGAGTGTTTGGGAATAAAAGGAGCCTTCCTTAAAATGATTAAGTAGCATCTACCTAAAACCATCAGCAAGCATTATATGTAATAGGGATAAGCTAGAAGCATTTCCAATAAGATCAGGGGTGAAACAAGGATGTCAATTATCACCACTGTTATTCAATATTGTACTAGAAATGTTAGCTTTAAGCAGTAAGAGAAGAAAAAGAAATTGAAGGAATTAGAACAGGCAAAGAAAAAACTTAGTTATCATTCTTTACAGATGATATGATGATATACTTAAAGAATCCTAGAGAATCAAGTAAAAAACTACTTGAAATAATAAACAACTTTAGCAAAGTTGGAGGCTATAAAATAAACTCACATAAATCACTAGCATTTCTATGTATTACTAACAAAGACAACATCAAGAGATAGAAAGAGGAATTCCATTTAAAGTTACTGTAGACATTATAAAATATTTGGGAGTCTACCTGTCAAAAAAAAAACCCAGGAACTATATGAACCCAAAAAAACCCATGAACACAATTATAAAACACTTTTCACACAAATAAAGTCAGATCTAAATAACTGGCTAGGCTAAGCTAATATAATAAAAATTACACTTTTACCTAAATTAATTTATTATTCAGGGCCATACCAATCAAACTAACAAAAAAAAATTTATGGAGCTAGAAAAAATAATGACAAAATTCATCTGGAAGAAAAAAAGCTTCAGAATATCAAGGGAATTAATGAAAAGAAATACAAGGGAAAGTGGCCTAGTCATCTCAAATCATGAATTGTATTATAAAGCAGCAATCTAAACTATTTGGTACTGGCTAAGAAATAGAGTGGTGGATCAGTGGAATAGGTTAGGTACACAAGACACAGCAGTCAATGACTACAGTAATCTACTGTTTGATAAACCCAAAGACCCCAGCTTCTGGGATAAGAATCATCACTGGACAAGCAAACAGGAGAGCAAGGAATAGTTTACCTGTCAGAGTTATGGGCAATGGAAGAATTTATGATCAAACAAGAGACAGAGAACATTATGAAATGTAGAATGGATAATTTTGATTACATTAAGTTGAAAAGGTTTTGCACAAACAAAATAAATGCAACCAAGATTAGGAGGGAAGCAAAGTTAAGAAGAGAATGAGTGGAGAGGAAGTAAAGACAACCTTCTCAAAGTAGACAATAGTAGACAACCAACAGTAGACAACCTTCTCAAAGAATTTAGCCACGAAGATATAAAGAGATATAAAATGATAGTTAATGGGGATGGAAGGATCAAGTAAGAGTTTTTTGAGGATGGATAAGACCTGGGCATGTTTTTAGGAAGTAGGAGAGCAATCAGTAGAAAAGGAGACATTGAAGATCAGTGAGAGAGTGGGAATTACAGAGTGGGTAATCTGTTGGAAGAGATGGGATGGAATAGATTTGTTTGTGTAGGCAGAAGGGTTTGCCTTGGCAAGAAGTAAGCCATTTCTTCAAGTAAGACAAGAGCAAAAGAGGGATTAGTGACAAAAAACATCTGAGTGATATGAAAGAAGGAAGAAAGAAGAAGGAGCTCTTGATAAATGGCCTCAATTTTTAAAGCAAAGTATGAGACAAGAGTCTCAGCTGAGAGGAGAGAGGGAGGAAGAGCTATAGAGAGTTTGGAGAGAGATGAAAAGGTTTGCAAGAGCCACTTTGGAGAGTGGGATACAGAGTTGATAAGAAAGGTGTAGAAGAATTGCCTGGAATCAATGAGGGCCCAGTTGAAGTTGTGTAACATAAATCTGTAGTGGACTCAATAAGAACA